GCCTGGGCTCAAGAACGCCCTCTAATGCTGAGACAGATGCAGCGGTTACAGGCTCAAGGGAATATAACAGTTAGTCTGTTTAGAATGTCTGGAAGGCCCTTAGAAGAAGGATAGCCACAAACAAACAAAGCCAGATTGCAAACTTTTTTTTTTTTTTTTTTTTTTTTTAGAAGGAGTCTTGCTTTGTCACCCAGGCTGGAATGCAATGGCACAATCTCAGCTCAGCTCACTGCAACCTCTGCCTCTGGGGTTCAAGCAATTCTCCTGTCTTGGCCTCCAAAGTAGCTGGGACTATAGGCACATGCCACCACACCTGGCTAATTTTTGTACTTTTAGTAGAGACAGGGTTTCACCATATGGGTCAGGCTGGTCTCAAACTCCTGATCTCAGGTGATCCACCCACCTCAGCCTCCCAACGTGCTGGAATTACAGGCATGAGCCACCACGCTCAGCCTGCAAACTCAAATAAATTGCTCAGTGTGCAGACATCATCACATGTTCATAAACATAACGAACATTCAGGAAAATATGAGCTCATCAAATGAACAAAATAAGGTGCTAATGACTGACGAAATCAATGTACAAAAATAAGTAGCATTTCCATATGCCAACAGGCAACTATGTGAAAATGAAATCAATCCCATTTATGATAGATAGCAAAAAAGCAAAAACAAACAAACAAAAACTGAAACAAACCAAGGAATAAATTTAACCAAAGAGGTAAGAGTTTTACAATGAAAACTATAAACATTGACAGAAGAAATTAAAGAGGAAATTAATAAATGAAAATATATTCCACGGATCAGAAGAATTAACATCGTTAAAATGTCTATACTACCCAAAACAATCTACAAATGCTATGTAATCCCTATCAAAATACCACCAATGACACTATTCACAGAAATACAAAGAACAATCCTAAAATTCATATGGAACCACAAAAGTCCCCAAACAGCCAAAGCAATCTTTTTTTATTTTTTTATTTTTTAAAATGGAGTTTTGCTCTTGTCACCCAGGCTGGAGTGCAATGGTGTGCTCTTGGGTCACTGCAACCTCCACCTCCCAGGTTGAAGTGATTCTCCTGCCTCAGCCTCCTGGAGTAGTGGGGATTACAGGCATCCACCACCACGGCTAGGTAACTTTTTGTATTCTCAGTAGACATGGGGTTTCACCATGTTGGCCAGGCTGTTCTCAACCTTCTGGCCTCAGGTGATCCACCTGTTTCAGCCTCCCAAAGTGTTGGGATTATAGGCATGAGCCACCACACTTGGCCACCAAAGCGATCTTGTACAAAAAGAACAAAGCTGCAGGCATCACACTCCATGACTTGAAAATATACTACAAAACAATAGTAACCAAACAGTATGGTACTGGCATGAAAACAGACACACAGAACAATGGAACAGGATAGAGAACCCAGAAAAAAAAATCCATATATTTGCAGCCAATTGATTTTCAACAAGAAGGCCAAGAACACAAGTTGGGAAAAGGACACTCTCTTTAGTAAATGGTACTGGGTAAACTGAATATCCATCTGCAAAAGAATAAAACTAGACTCCTATCTCTCACCATTCAACTCAAAATGGATTAAAGACTTAAATGTAAGACTGGAAACGATGAAACTAGTAGAAGAAAACACAGGGAAGCAGACACTGATCTGGGCAAGGATTTTTTAATAAGACCTCAAAAGCACTGACAATAAATGTAAAAGCAGATAAATGTATTACATCAAAGTAAAAAGGTTCTGTACAGCAAAGGAAATGAGAGTAAAGAGACAACCTACAGAATGGGAGAAAATATTCACAAACTATGTATCTAGCAAGGGGTTGATAACAAGAATATATAAGAAAGTCAACTCAACAGCAAAAAAACTGGTCATCTGATTAAAAAATAGTAAAAAGATTTGAATAAACATTTTTAAAAAAAGACATACAAATGGCTAACAGGTAAGTGAAAAAATGCTCAACATCACTAATAACAGGGAAATGCAAATCAAAGCTAAAATCAGATATCACCTCACCATTATTCGAAGGGCTATTAAAAGACAAAATATAACAAATTCTGGTAAAAATGTGGAAAAAGGGGAAACTCTTACATACTCTTTGTGGGAATGTAAATTAGCACAATCATTATGGAAAATAGTATGGAACTTTCTCAAAAAATTAAAAATAGGACTATCATATGATCCAACATTCCAACTACTGGGTATATATCCAAAAGAAATAAAATCAGTATGTGAAAGAGGTATCCTGCATTCCCATGTTTACTGCAGCACTATCCACAATAGCAATAATATGGTCTCAAACTCAGCGTCCATTAAAAGACAAATGAATTTTCAAAAATGGGGTATATATGCAGAACAGAATACTATCCCCCTATAAAAGTGAATAAGATCCTGTTATTTTTGACAACTTGGATGAAGCTAGAGGACATTATATTAAGTGAAATATGCCAAGAACAGGACAAATATCACAAGACTTCACTCATATGTGGAACCTAAAAAGGTTGATCTCATAGAAGCAGAGAGTAGAACAGTGGTTACCAGAGGCTGAGTGGGGTGGCTGGGAAGAGACTGGTCAATGGGTACAAAGTTATAGTTAGATAGGAGAAATAAATTCTGATGTACTGTTGCACAACAAGTTGACTATATAGTCAACAAAAGTGTCTTGAATGCTTGCAAATAGCTAGAAGGGAGCATCTTGAATGTTCTAACCACAAAGAAATGACAAGTGTTTTGAGGTGACAAATATGCTAATTACCCTGATTTGATAATTACACAAAGTACACATGTATAAAACATCACACTGTAGCCCATAAATATGTACATTATGTGTCAACTAAAAGTAAAATAAAACTTTCAAAAGTGTTTATGAGAAAAATAACTCAACAGTAAATTAGAACTGGATGAAATAGATGAAAAACATGAAAAATTACTCATAAAGATAAAATAACTGATATATACAATAACCACATAAAAAGTTTAAATTTGAGTTCAGAGTCTGTGCTCCTAAAAGGCAATAGATACCTATGACTGATGATCATTTGTATCTGCTGGTCATTGTACCTGTTGTATCTACCAGTCAAGGCAATAGATTTCAGTGACCAGTAGGTTTACCAGCAATATTATTCAAACATTAAAGAATATATAGGCCAGGCGTGGTGGCTTATACCTGTAATCCCAGCACTGTGAGAGATCAAGGCAGGTGGACTGCCTGAGTCCAGAAGTCCAAGATTAGTCTGGGCAATGTGGCAATACCCCATCTCCAAAAAATACAAAAATTAGACATGGTGGCACATGCCTGTAGTCCCAGCTAGGATCACCTGGGCTCAGGGAGGTGAAGGCTGCAGTGAGCTGTGATTGTGCCACTGCACTTCAGCCTAAGTGACAGAGTGAGACCCTGTCTCAACAACAACAGCAACAACAACAAAAGAATATATAATTCTAATCATACATAACTGTTGAACATATAAAAATATGGTAATCTACCCTAGTCATTTTACAAAGTTAAATTAACTCATATAACAACACTGAACAACGATCTCAGGAAAACTAAGCCAGTCTCATGAATGAACGAAGGTAAAATTTAAAAATAAAATATTAGAAACAAAGAACCTAGCTGTGTATTTAAGGGATAACACATCATAATCATATAAAGTTTATCCCACAAATGCAGAAATAATTTGACATCAGAGTCTATTTTCCCACACGAAGAACTTAAAGAATAAAATAACATTATTTCAAAAAATGCCAAAAATTTTAAACTATATTCTAAGACCCTTTATTAAAAGTTCTCTAAAACTAGAATCAGGTAAAAACCTAGTTAAGAGTATTTACCAGATGCCCACAGAAATATATTTCATAGTTAAACATTAGAAACACTGCCAATAAAGTTTGAGAAAAGAAAGATTTATTTTCAAATTCTGCTAGAGGTCCTACTGAATATAGTTGCTTTTTTTAAAGGTAAAACCAGAAAGAGAAAAGACGACATATCGTATGTAGAGAGTAAAACTGTCTATCTAGAAATCCACTATTATCCACTGAAAAACTATTAGATATTTCCATAAGATTATTATCAATTTATAGAAATCAATACTTGCTCATACATAATATATATCAGTATTAGCCATTTAGAAATGTTACAGAACAAAAATCCTATTGACAATATAAACAAAATGTACTGACAAATTGCTTAAGAAATGTGTAAGACCTTTTAAGAAAAAACCACGAAACTTTGCAGAGAACATAAAAAAGAAAAGCAGATTTAGCATGTTCAACAATAGGATTCAAGATTGTTAATATGTAAATGGTGCACCAGATTTCTTGAAAAACATAAATACTGGATAAAATATGAAAAACATCCTTTTAAAAGTATGTGAAGCATAAAAGAAAGTAAGTCTAGGGGTGCTACAATGAAGTAAGAACCAGAAAGTAGACGGGTAAATATGCTCTGAAGTTACAGCTATCCTTGGGATATTTGCTGATTTTAATTACCTAGATGTTTGTATCTTAATGGTCTGAAAAAATTCAACAGACAAGACCTCTTCTCGACAAAAGAGCAGAGATTACAAATAAACCTCTTGACAAAATTAGAATTACTCAAGGAATAAAGTTCAGAGAAAGAAAAACAAATCCATCAAACCTTAAAGGAAAATGACATGGAACTTTTCAGTCTTGGCCTGGACTCTCAAAGAAAAGGAGAAAAAAAAGTGCTATGGATAATTCACTGTTACACAAGAGTCCCCAAGGATACAAGAAACAGCAAAATTAGACCTGTCTCCCAGAAATTTGAATTGTATGACATGTAAGTGCTGGAAATACATGAAAGTGTAAGATAAAATCCATGAGAAAGGGACCAGTTAAAAAAAAAAAAAAAAAAAAAAGATCTGGGAGAGGAGGAGGATATCAAACTTCTAGAAATGAAACAATATAACCAATTACATTAAAATCTTATAGAGAAAAAAAATCTTAAAAGCAGCCAGAGAAAATACAGATTACTTACAAAAGGAACAACAATGAAACAGATGGCAGACTTCTCAAGAGCAACAATAGAAGCCAGAAGACAGTGGAATAATATCTTCAGAGTGCTGAGAAAAAAATAATTGTCAGTATAGAATTTTATACCTAGTTAATCATCAGGCAAGAATGACAGTGAAACAAGGTTATTTTGCAACAATGACAAAAATAAACACTTAGAGCATTTGTTAACAATAAGCCAGGCCGGGGATAGTGGCTCATGCCTGTAATCCCAGCACTTTGGGATGCCAAGTCAGGTGGATCCCCTGAGGTCAGGAGTTCAAGACTAACCTGGACAACCTGGTGAAACCCCATCTCTACTAAGAATACAAAAATCAGCCAGGTGTGGTGGTGGGCACCTGATATCCCAGCTACTTGGGAGGCTGAGGCAGGAGAATCACTTGAACCTGGGAGGTGGAGTTTGCAGTGAGCCGAGATCACGCCACTGCACTGCAGCTTGGGCAACAAGAGAAGACTCCATCTCAAAAACAAGAACAAGAACAAGAACAACAACAAAAATGCCTTCCCTAATGTATTTTCTGGTAAACAAAATATTCTAGAAGGAAGGTATAATGAAAGAGGAATAGCATACAAATAAAAGATAATTATGCAAACAAATCCACAAGCAAATATTGACATTATGAAACAAAAATAATGCGCATTTTGTAGGCTAAAAAAAGAACAGAACTAAAATACCAGAGAAAAATACCAGATTGGAGAAACAGTTCAAAGTTAAAGCATTCCAATATCCTTTACATTTTCTTAAGGAAAGTCAGACATGAATTTCAGCCTTTGCTAAATTAAGTTTGTATTTGTCAAGTGACACAAACAATAATGATAATAATTAAAGTACCAAAACAGGCAGAAATACCCCCAAAATATTTAAATTCACCAGCAATGGCAGAAATGTTCTTCTGTTTTCCATCCACAAATTAACAAAGATATTTCTAAGTGATAAGAGCCACTATTGATAAAGTATAAAATAGGTATGCATTGCTGGTATACTTCTGATAAGAATTCTGTGACAATATATACTTGACACAGAAATGTCAATTTCTTATCTCTCCTTATAACCTCAACTAATTGCCACAATGGTTATCAATTTATTTCACAGTAGATACTATCCTTTATATTTGTTTTTCAACTTGTTGGCCTTGAAATCCTAGGGATGGTGATAGAGCAAGTTTATTGCAGAGCAATATGCAAACCAAATATTGTATGTGGACTGAATAAATACATTTTAGTATCCATCAAAATATATAATATCCATTAAATATATAATTTTTCAGACATAATTACAATGAATAGAAACTATAAAATATCACTGGCATTAAAAGAATTAGGTACACATGATAAAAATTTAAAGATAACTGTAAAAAGAATATAAATACTGTATGTTTTCCAAACTAAACAAGGGGGAAAATGGAGTTTCAAAAGATAAAACAAGATTGTATCCTCCTGATTAAGGAGGGGCAAATTTGCCCGTAAGATAAAAAGAAAAAACAAAAAGCATAAAATAGGGGACAAATAAATCCAAGTATATTGGTAATAAATTAAATGAAGTGAACATTCAATTTTTTAAAAAGTTCTCAGATAATACCACAGTGCAGTGGTTACCAAACATTTCTAAATATTTGAAAAACCTAGAGAATTTCAAAAAATAATGATACTTGTGTACCATGCCCAGAGATTATTATTTAATTGGTCTGGGGTGTGGCCTGAGCTGTGGAATTTTTTAAAAAGACAGTAAATGTTTCTAAAGTACACACAAGTTTGGAAACCATTTCCATATTATTTCTGCACAATGGCTTTAGTATACCCATTGAGTTGTATAACAATTACCACAATCTAATTTTTTAACAATTTTTTTTACCCCTAAAAGAAATGCTGTGTGCTCAATAGCAGTCACTTCGCATTTCCCCACTCCCCATTCTCCATCCCCTCTACATCTTTCCTATCCCCAGTGCTGGGTAACCAGTAATCTACTTTCTATCAGTACACATTTGCCTATTGAGGACATGTCATATAAATGCAATCATATAATATGTAATGTTTGTATTTGGCTTCTTTGACTTGGCATGGGATATGTTTGGATGTTTGTCCCCTGGGCATCTCATGCTGATGGAATCTAATGTGAAGTATAATCCCCAGTGTCAGAGGTGGGGCCTGGTGGGAGGTATGTGGATCATGTGGGTGGATCTCTCATGAATGGCTTGGTGCCATCTTTGTGGTAAAGAATGAGTTCTTGGCTGGGCGCGGTGGCTCAAGCCTGTAATCCCAGCACTTCGGGGGGCCGAGGCGGGTGGATCACGAGGTCAAGAGATCGAGACCATCCTGGTCAACAAGGTGAAACCCCGTCTCCACTAAAAATACAAAAAAAAATTAGCTGGGCATGGTGGCGGGTGCCTGTAATCCCAGCTACTCAGGAGGCTGAGGCAGGAGAATTGCCTGAACCCAGGAGACGGAGGTTGCGGTGAGCTGAGATCGCGCCATTGCACTCCAGCCTGGGTAACAAGAGCGAAACTCCATCTCAAAAAAAAAAAAAAAAAAAAAAGAATGAGTTCTTATGCTATGAGTTCACACGAGATTGGGTTGTTTAAAAGAGCCTGGAAGATCCTCCTCTCTCTCTTGCCATGTGACACACTGGCTCCCCTTCCCTTCCACCATGACTAAAAGCTTCCTGGGCCTCACCAAAAGCCAAGCAGATGCTAGCGCTATGCTTGTAGAGCCTCCAGGAGCATAAGCCAAGTAAATTTCTTTTTATTATAAATTACTCAGCCTCAGGTATTTCTTTATAGCATGTTTCCAAGGTGCATCCATGTTAAAGCATGTATCAGAACTTCATTCCTTTTAATTGCTGAATAGTATTTCATTGTAAGAATATGCCAAATTTTATCCATTCATTAGTTGATGGACATTTGGGTGGTTCCCACTTTTTGGCTATTGTGAATATCAAGACATAGTGCACTTCTGCCTCTAAATCTTGAGAATGCCTGGTACTGTGAAACATCTTAATTTTTGCCAATTTACAGCATGTGAAATAATTCTATCATTGTGGTTTTGCTATTTTTTTTTTTTTTTTTTTTTTTTTTTGAGAAAGAGTCTCCCTCTGTCACCCAGGCTGGAGTGCAATGGCTGGATCTGGGCTCACCGCAACCACCACCTCCTGGGTTCAAGCAATTCTCCTGCCTCAGCCTCCTGAGTAACTGGGATTACAGGCACCTGCCACCACGCCCAGTTAATTTTTGTATTTTTAGTAGAGATGGGGTTTCACCATGTTGGCCAGGCTCGAACTCCTGGCCTCAAGTAATCCGCCCGCCTCGGCCTCCCAAAGTGTTGGGGTTACAGGCGTGAGCCACCGTGCCCAGCCTAATTTGCATTTTTTCCCTTCAACTGCCAATAGATATCTTTTATGGAATTTTTCAATATTGTTATTTATCTTATTCTTATCAATCTGTAGAAGCTTTTCATATTCTGATACTAATTACTAATTTCATTGTTGTCTATATGCATTGCAAGTATCTCTGCCCAATTCATGGCTTGTCTTTTACTGTCTTTATAATGTCTTTTGATAAAGAGAGTAATTTTTATGCAGCCAAATTTATCAATCTTTCAATTATCATTTTTAAAAAGAACTAAATAGAACTTTTAGAAATTATTTTTCTTTCAAATCTGTCCCTTTATGAAAATCTATTAGTCATCAATCTTGCAGTTTAATTTATTTCTTTAAACCAGCACCAATAGTTTATTTATATCTACATCTAATCATTCTAATATGTAAAGATTTTTGCCATATAATATGTTATTTCTTCAGATTATCTATCACTCAGCTGTGACCTATATCCCTGCGAAGTGGATGATCTTTGTGAGCTCACCTTTTGTTGATCTTAACTTGTGAGAATTCTAAAGGCCTCTTACTTTCCTCTGGAGATTTGCATTTGCTTCAGATGGGGAGTCAGGAGGCATCACCTTAGAGAATAAAATTTCAGTCTTTTTTATTCTATGTCACTGTCTTTCTTATTATCCTAGTAGTCACTTTTCTCTAGATACAAGTTTATCTGTTCATCCTATGAAGCTAATACCCATCCCAAGGCCGTTACACTGCTTTCCCAGATACTGGCTTGACTCACACCCTTACTTTTTAGTCAGGTCTTTGTTCAAATATTACCTCTTCAGAGAGGCTTTTCCGAAATCTAGAACAGGCCACTCCAATCTAAAACAGGCCGTTCCAACCCCTCATTATTCTTTACTTGCCTACCTTTCTTTACCTTTATTTGTACTACTTATCACTACCTGTTATTGTTATATTGATAATTATTAAGTAAATGCATATGTATGTATATACATGCACATACATATACATATAATTTTCTTTCCATATGTATTTTGTATTTCTCCCACAAGAATGTGTTTCAGCAGAGAAAGAACCTTATCGAGACCATTAATTCCCCAATGGCTCCTATAGTCCTTGGCAGGGAATAGGTACTCAATAAATATATTTTGGATACATGAACAATACTTTAAAGAATAAAGACGGTAAGTATACATTTAAAGAAACAATCTGGAAAGGAATTGACTCCCAAGTTTACATAAAAGTGTTGTCACTGGGGAGGAGGAAAAGCCATTCCCTCTTCTGAAAGTGGGAAGAATTATAATAAAAAACCAACAGGGAAAGGAGGTAGAGGAATTAGGTAAGATTCTTTAGGAAGATCATGGTGAAAACCCTTGCTTTTCTCCTCAAGTCATAAGTCTTTTTTCCACACAACCTGGGTGCTCTAGGGACACGTATTAATCAATAACTTCCTAAAGCCTTCAGAGGAGAAAGGAAGGAAGAGGCAAGAGACAGTTTATTCCAGCACAGGGAATAAAGTGATCATCTAGGTTGGAAAATCACTTATTCAAGTTTTAATTGATATGGATTTCGTTCTGTATAAAAATACTACAGAAGAAAACAATAAACTTTCTTAGACAATCGCAAGTTCCCTCTCAACTATTTTCCAATACAAGAAAATTCTAGCATATTCATTCAATGTCTAATGCAAAGTTCTTTCTTTTTTTTTTTAAATGGAGTCTCACTCTGTCGCCCAGGCTGGAGTGCAGTGATGGGATCTTGGTTCACTGCAACCTCCACCTCACTGGTTCAAGCAATTCTCCTCCCTCAGCCCCCTGAGTAGCTGGGACTACAGGCACCTGCGACCATGCCCACCTAATTTTTGTATTTTTAGTAGAGACGGGATTTCACCATGTTGTTCAGGCTGGTCTCAAACTCCTGACCTCAGGTGACCTACCTGCCTGTGTTTCCCAAAGTGCTGTGATTACAGGCATGAGCCACTGTGCCCAGCCCAAACTTCTTAATATGTAATATTCAACAACTAAGCACATATAAGACAATGTGTTTGTTCTAATTAATGGGTTGGTTCATTTGAGTTGTTGGTAAAATGCATTGATCTGTTCCATCACTATACAAATGATGTAAACTCTGATCAGAAAAAACATACATCTCTGCATCTATTTTTTAAATATGTGACTGGGCTGTAAATTATTTAGAGCTCCTTCAGCAGATCTAAAGTGTAACAATGTATAGGCTGTTTAATCTGCCAATATTCCAACTATCCCAAACTTCAAATCTAGCCCCTTGATCATCAAGGAAGATAGTAGGAAGATGTTATTAGAAGGCAGTGATAAGGCTTTTTGAAGGATGGAAAAGATAAAGGTGCCCTAAGAAATTAACTTCCAGTAATTGCAAACCATTCCTTGGAAAAGAATAAGAAATTCAGCTAATTATTTAAAAAGCAACCGTGAAATACCAGCCGAGAAAGCAGCCATTCCAAAGGTAGATCCTGAAATATGAAGGCCAGATTCCTTACCTAGTGATAGCAAGTTGCTGTAGTTCTCCAACATCACATCTCTATACAAATCTCTTTGAGCAGTGTCCAGGTATTCCCACTCTTCTTGAGAAAAGTCTATAGCAACATCCCTGAACATCACTACTTTCTGAAACAACAAATGAAATGTTAGTTTTGGAAATTAAAAAACTAGGCTGGGTGTGGTGGCTTACATCTGTAATCCCAGTACTTTGGGAGGCTGAGGCGGGTGAATCACGAGCTTAGATCGAGACCATCCTGGCTAACATGGTGAAACCCCGTCTCTACTAAAAATACAAAAAATTAGCCAGGTGTGGGTGGTGGGTGCCTATAGTCTCAGCTACTCAGAAGGCTGAGGCAGGAGAATTGCTTAAACCCAGGAGGCAGAGGTTGCAGTGAGCCCAGATCGCGCCACTGCACCCCAGCTTGGGTGACAGAGTAAGACTTTCAAAAACAAAACCAAAACTTTTTCAATGGAGGGAGAGATCATGGGAACACTCCACAAAGGAAGCAACAGAGTAAATGGGCAGAAAAGTACAAATATGTTCCTGATTATTCCTATTAATATAGTTTTGTTGTTGTTGTTGTTGTTGTTTTGGAGACAGGGTCTCCCTCTGCCACCCAGGCTGGAGTACAGTGGTGCCATCATAGCTTACTGCTGCCTTGAACTCCTGGGCTTAAGTGATCTTGCCTCAGCTTCCTGAGTAGTTGAGACCAAAGTATGTGCCACTGTGCCCAGATAATTTTTAAATGTTTTTGTAGAGACAGGGGTCTTGTTATGTTACCCAGGATAGTCTTAAACACCTGGCCTAAGGGACCCTCCTGCCTAGGCCTCCCAAAGTGCTGGGATTACAAGTGTGAGCCACTGCACCTGGCCTGCTGTAGATATTTTCTACATACAAGAACATCTTACTTTACAGATAAGTTTGGGAATTAATAAAGTAAATGCAATGTCCCAATTAAAGGAAATAGTATATACAAGCATTCTATACAATATGTATATTGTGTATCATACATTCTTTAAGTTTCTCTTTCTTCACTATTTAAGGAATAAACAAAATAACTGGGAAAAATTATCTGTAAAACCTTATAAAACAGATTTGTATAAAATTAAAGAATTTATTGATGCTCCAGATTCACCATTAGATCCAAGTACTATATCATAAACATTTTCCTCATCATCAATAATTTAGTAAATATTTTATAGGATACAGAATAGCTCCATATAATGAATATATCTGATTTAATAAGTGCTCATATTTAAACATTTTAGGTTGTATAAAATAAAATTATGTAAGTATTTCTTAGTTCTCAGAGTTTACTATTCTCAGCAACTTCTGCTAGTAAATGATCACCTTTATTATGATCATATTTACTATTAATCCATAAATGTAACTTTTCATCATTGTAAGCAAAAGAAAGGTGAAAAACATAATCCAAATTTACACATTCAAGACCAGCACATGTTGAATTTCAAATTGATCCATATTAAATTACATCTTCCTGGGGAAGATCCCTGATCTTTCTGTATTCAGTCCCTCATCATCTTCCTAATCTTAAAAACTAATAAAGCATGAGCCGGGTGCAGTGGCTCACGCCTGTAATCCCAGCACTTTGGGAGGCTGAGGCGGGTGGATCACGAGGTCAAGAGATTGAGACCATCCTGGTCAACATGGTGAAACCCCGTCTCTACTAAAAATACAAAAAATTAGCTGGGCATGGTGGCATGTGCCTGTAATCACAGCTACTTGGGAGGCTGAGGCAGGAGAATTGCCTGAAGCCAGGAGGTGGAGGTTGCGGTGAGCCGAGATCGCGCCATTGTACTCCAGCCTGGGTAACAAGAGCGAAACTCCATCTCAAAAACAAAAAACAAAAAACAAAAAACAAAACTAATAAAGATGAGCTCCTGCCATATACTGAGAGTAAGCCCAGTCACGACCAAGTCCTGTCTTGTCTACCTGGGAACTTAGATCTAAAGAGAAGTTCAAAAGGTTTTCATGTGGGGTGCCATCTAATATCTTCCTCTGTCTTATGAAATCAGGGAACTCTGCTTTTGTTAGATCAGTGTTCCTAGTTGAAGATGCAGAATGGATTGTTGAATAAGTATGTGACTATAGGTTAGATCAGAAAGACACACTTAGGGAAGACACTATCACTTATAAGAATGGGACAAACAGGGAGCATATTCCTGAGGGAGGTTAGTTAGGAATGAATCTTCAGAAGTAAAGAATACAAATACACACATACTCTGTAAAAAAGTAAGTGAAGAGAGCACAAAGAAACTCCAATTTACCCAAGCCATGGTTTTTAGACCTGCAAGAAATGATCAGTCCTCTTCTGGTTTCCTATCTTAGAAAAGCACAGAGTCTGGAGAATGCAGAGCTAGGGAGGAAAAAGCAGAACAATAAGACCAGGTATTTTACAAACTAAGAAATGATTCAGTTGGAATTATCTTTGTTGTTCTTTTCTTTTGGTATCTTTCTCCCACCGCAAAACACATACTAAGCAGTATAGATATAGGTTGTGGTTCTTACCCTGATCAAACTCAATACTTTCTATCTACAAAAAGAAAATATAACAATGTGTCTACCACTTCTGAAATGAAACTCATAGGTAATTTGACATCTACAGATGTCAAAATGGAGATAACGAACAACTTAATATTTCAGTATATTTATGATCATACACAACTACATTAGAAGATACAAATAAGTAAATGCTTATGCATACAATGACTTATAATGAAGAAATTTAGATTTATAATGACAACAAACTCAATTCTTTCAAAAAATTAGTTCAGTTTATAAACCCCTACCAAGTTTTCAAGAAAAAAATATTACCATAGTGGAGACTAGAGCACAGATTTTTTTAAGGCTTAAATTAAAAAGATAATACAATTCTATGCCAATAATTTAGGCAATTTCAATGATATAGACAAATTCTTTAAACAAAAATTGCCAAAATTCACACAAGAAAAAACAGAAAAAAAAAAATCCCATGGATATTAAATAAATTGAATTTGTAGGAATAAACAAGCAAAAAGACTATCTAGAGAAGGCCCAGATGGCTTTACTGGTAAATTCTACCAATATTTAAGGCAGATATAACACTATTCTTTCACAAACTTTTTCAGAAACAGAAAAAGGAGATAGCACTCTGTTCTACATTTTGAGGCCAAATAACCTTATTAGTAAAACCTCACAAAGATATTACACATAAAAAAATTACAGTTCAATATCCTCTAGGAAAACAGACATACAACAGAGTTATAAAGTATTACCTATCAAATCTATTTGACTTTGGAACCACAAGTATGTTTTCTATAACTAAAATCACAAAATTAAATCAAAATGAAAAAATTCTCTAAGAACCAAAAACAAAATGAAACAAATTTATCTGTGCATAAAGCTGGAAAGTTAAACATATAAAGGAAGTGACTATTTTAAGAAACTTTAAAATACAGTCTTTTTATTTTTATTTTTCGAGATGGAGTCTCACTCTGTCACCCAGGCTGGAATGCAGTGGTGCAATCTCAGCTCACTACAACATCTGCCTTCCAGGTTCAAGCAATTCTCCTGCCTCAGCCTCCTGAGTAGTAGCTGGGATTACCGATGTGTGCCACCGTATCTGGATAATTTTTTATTTTTAGTAGAGACGGGGTTTCATCCATGTTGGCCAGGCTGGTTTTGAACTCCTGACCTCAGGTGATCCTCCTGCCTTGGCCTCCCAAGGTGCTGGGATTATAGGAATGAGTCACGGTGCCCAGCCAAAATATAGCCATTTGACATTAGACCCAACATAACCTACAAACAAAATAACTATAAACTGTTTTTCAAAATTGTCTTAGAGTTTATAACTTTGTGAAGTTATGTCTTAGAGTTTTTCAGTAGTTATACCGTTATTAATATTAGCATTGTTAGTCTAAAACTAATACATGTATATAACCTGAAATGATTATACATACATACACATATCAGTGAGAATCTTAGTATCGTTAATCATTATGAATTAAGATTTTTTCAGATTACAAAAGCAACACAAACATAAAATCAGATAGTAAGAAAAACTCTATAATCTTTTAATTCAATTGGAAATATCAGGATACACTCAGGCTTTTTTTTTCTCCTTCTAAAAAATTTTGTATTTCATCAGCTCTGTTAAGGCTATAAGCAATGACAACTAGGAGCAATGAGAGTTCCTACTGTCCTGGTTGTGACTTCTTAAAACCACTTCACATAAAAGGAACCAGGGTCCCATAAAGAAGTGGCTGATCTTATGTTTGGGATGGGAAAATGTTTAAAATGAGCCTAGAATACCCTGTTAGAACAGAAAGTCTGGAATCTACCGAAGACTACTGAAGTCATGTTGAAAAGAACAAAAAGGAATACAAACGTAGGAAAACCGCAGAGGGTAAACCTTCCACTTGCCATACACGGAACAATGTGAGCATTAATAAGAACAGTAACTGTTACAGATGGAAACATAACAGATATGTTTTAATCCACAAATTAAAAATAACAGTTTTCTTTTTAATTCAGTCTCTGTAGAGACTGTCAAAAATTGCCAATGCCAATTATGTTGCAAGTCGTCACGGCGGGGTATTGGGAAAAGTTTTCAATTAGCAATAATTGAGCCTCAGATAAACCTCATTGGCTATAATACTGCCACTGTGCAAAGCTACTAATAGTTTAAAAGAAAAACACGGAATAAGCTTTGGGAGATACCGAAAAATAATAAGAGGAAAATCAATATTTTATTCTAGTTCTGTTTATTTTTTTTGTTTTTTGTTTTTTTTACACCATAAACTGTTCTTTAGGTAACCAAGACACTGAGAAAGAATGACTCCCTTTACAGATATATTCCAGCTAATAAATCCAGAAGAATTATCATTTTGTAACCCCTGATAAAATAACATAGTCAAACAAAGATGCCAATAGCTGGCTGCTAACTTCACATAAAGGAAAACAACCAAATACTATGCACCACTTCAGAGAAGTGCACATCACTATGCATGATGGATTAGTAAAAAACAAGCAAAAACCAACAAAAATCCTCAACCTGATCAAACCTCTAAAATTAAATACCAGTTTACTAGAAATACAAGGTCTGAGGAACATGTTAAATGACACCAGAGACAAGCAATCAACAAAATCCAGAATATGGGTAACTGTACAGCAAAATTCTGTTTCTGGAAAAAATAAACTGTAAGAAAGAAAAAGTGAAAGAACCTAGGGATTAGAAGAATATTTAAGAAACATATAGCACTATTACAGCAAACAAACACTGTTTGGATCTTGATTCTAAAAAAATCATAAAAAATATTTATAGACAACGGGAAAATTTGAACACTCATTGGCTCATGACATTAAGAGAGTACTGCCTGTTTTGGTTTTTGGGTTTTTTTTTTTTTGAGACAGGGTCTCACCCTGTTGCTTAGGCTGGGGTGCAGTGGTGCAATCTTGGCTCATTGTAAATTCTGCCTGGCAAGCTCAAGCGATCCTTCCACTTCAGCCTCTCAAATAGCTGGGGCTACAGGCACATGCCACCATGTCCCACTAATTTTGTATTTTTAGTGGAGACAGGGCTTCATTGTGTTATCCAGGCTGGTCTCGTACTCGTGACCTCAGGTGATCCACCCACCTCAGTCTCCCAAAGTGCTGGAATTATAGGTATGAGCCACCATGCCTGGTTTTTTTCTTTTTAGCAGTGATGATACTATGGTTATTATTTTTCTTTAATTTAAAAGTTCTTACTTTTTACAGATATATATTAATATATTTAAGGATGAAATTATATATCTGAAATCCACTTCAAGATAACCTGTTTTATTTATTTATTTATTCATTTATTTTGAGGCAGAGTCTTACTCTGTCACAAGGCTGGAGTGCTGTGGTGCGATCTCAGCTCATTGCATCCTCCACCTCCCCGGTTCAAGGGATTCTTCTGACTCAGCCTCCCAAGTAGCTGGGACTAGAGGCATGTGCCATCACGCCTAGCTAATTTTTGTATTTTTAGTAGAGACAGGGTTTCACCATGTTGGCCAGGCTGGTCTCGATCTTCTGTACTTGTGATCTGCCCACCTTGGCCTCCCAAAGTGCTGGGATAACAGGCGTGAACCACTGCGCCCAGCCCCATATGTTGTTTCTTAGAGGAGGGGTGGGAAGGTGGGAGAAGAAACAGGGGTACTGACGAAACATGTTTAGTCATAAATTGATATGTGTTGAAGCTGAGTGATGGGTAGAGTATATAGAATACATTACAGTACACTTACTTCTGTATATTAAAACATTTTTTCCATAATAAGAAGTTAAAGAAAAGAGACTTGAAGAATGGACTCCACATATGAACAATTCATTCCAGAGGATGGTTTTTCAGTAATTGTTATTTTATCCTTTGTGTCTTTAAATTTTTGTATTTTCTAAATCATGCCAACAAACAAGTACTACTTTGATATCAGAAAACAAAGATATCAGCTTCCTGGAACTCTAAACAGGAAACAAGTTTTATTAAAAAAAAAAAGGATTCTCACTAAATTTGGAGGAAAAAAGAATATTTAACAGCATATACTCTAAGAAAAATTTTTTAAAGTTAGGTAATAGAAGATGAGAAAGAAGAAAAATGAAGAAGTGTACGAACTTTATTGAGACACAGAGTTGCAATTCATGCAGAACTTGTGCAAAGCATTAAAATAAACGAAAAGTAAGCCACTTCTACAAACTTGCCCCAAAGATAAACTTCCACAGAAAAAACAACACATGTAGTTATTGATGGCTGCATTATGTAACAGTAAAATATCAGAAAAAAACAAATGGCCATCCACTGGAGACTTGTTGAATAACTACTACAGCCACACAACAGAATATGTGGCTATAAAAATAAATGAGGAAGATCTTTATAGGCTCCTATAGGGTTATCTCCAGGATACCACAGATGTGTGAAAAAGAAAAAAGAAGGTGTAGAACAGTGTACATAGAGTACTCCTTTTAATTAAAAATAGAATAAAAATTGCATACATACACACATATATAAACACATACATCATTTAAAAGAAATATAAAAGTAAAACCAATGAGAAGTACAGGTACTTATCTAGAGACAGAAGAAAGAAGCTGGTGGAGGGGATAGAAGTGGACACTAGACTTCTTCAAATTCATCTTGTTCTGTAGTTTTGATTTTGGATATATGTTATGTAATTTAAAAACAAGATTAAATCATAGTGGGAGAAATGCAATCCCTAAACATCAAAAGCAATATAAAACAAATGAGCCTAACTGCATTTCCAGTTGGCAGCTTAACCATATGAGAAGTGCTATTTAGATGACTTTTAAAAAACAGTAATTTAATTATACATCCCTAGTGGGATATATCCCGTCAAACTCCAACAAGACTTTATTGTTTTTCTATATTCATATGGTTGGTAATATATTGGTATTGTTATTTTGAAACTCTTCGTCTCAACCCAAACGAAGGCAGAAAAGTGAGAATAGGAAATAAAGAACAGATAGGACAAATATAAAACAAATGGCAAAATGAGGAATTGAACCAAACCATATCAATAATCACACTAAGTATAAATGGTCTAAATACTCCAATTAAAAGATGGAGATTGCTGGCTGGGTGTGGTTGTTCACACCTGTAATCACAGAAATTTGAGAGGCCGAGGTGAGCAGATAACCTGAGGTCAGGAGTTTGAGACCAGCCTGGCCAACACTACAAAACTCAATCTCTACTAAAAATAAAAAAAAAATTAGCTGAGTTGCAGTGAGCCGAGATTTTGCCAGTGCACTCCAGCCTGGGTGGCAGAGTGATACTCTGTCTAAAAAAAAAAAAAAAAAAAAAAAATGAGATTGCCAAATTGAATAAAAACACAGACCCAATTATATGCTGTATATAAGACAGGCACTTGAAATATCAAAACACAAATAGGCTGAAAGTAAAAGAACAGAAAAAGATATACAATACTAACACTAATGAAAAGAAAGCTGGAGGCTGGGCAGTGGCTCAGCAGTGGCTCATGCCTATAATCCCAGCACTTTGGGAGGCGGAGGCGGGCGGATAATGAGGTCTGGAGATCAAAACCATCTTAGCTAATACAGTGAAACCCCATCTCTACTAAAAATACAAAATATTAGCTGGGTGTGGTGGTGGGCACCTGTAATACCAGCTACTCACACCACTGTACTCCAGCCTGGACGACAGAGCAAGACTCCGTCTCAAAGAAAAAAAAAAAAAAAAAAAAAAAGCTGGAGTGACTACATTAAATATCAGGCAAAGTAGATGTTCAGAGCAAAGAATATTATCAGGGATAAGGAAGACCATTTCCTAATTAAAAAAGGGTCAATTCACCAGTAGGATGTAAAAATCTAAAACCTTTATATACCTACTAACAGAAAATCAAAATACATGAAGCAGGCCAGGTGTGGTGGCTCACACCTGTAATCCCAACACTTTGGGAGGTAGAGGTAGGTGAATGACCTGAGGTCAGAAGTTTGAGACCAGCCTGGCCAATATGGTGAAACCCCATCTCTACTAAAAAAAAAAAAAAAAAAAAAAAAAAAAAAAAAAAAAAATTAGCTGGGTGTGGTGGTGTCCACCTGTAATCCCAGCTACTTGGGAGGCTGAGGTAGGAGAATCACTTGAATTTGGGAGGTGGAGGTTGCAGTAAGCCGAGATCATGACACTGCACTACAGCCTGGGTGACAAAGCAAGACTCCAACTCAAAAAAAAAGAAAAAAAGAAAAAAAATACATGAAGTAGAAACTGAAAGAAACTACAAGGAGAAAAATCCAACAAAGAAAAAATCAGTAAAGATATGGAAGATTTAAACAACACTATCAATCTACCTGACCTAGTTGACATTTATACAACACTTCACTCAACAACCACTATAGACTTTTCAAGTGCGCATGGAACATTTACTAAGATGCACCAAGTTTTGGGTCATAAAACAAATCTAAATAAATTTAAAATGATTCAAATCATACAAAGTGTTACTCTGTGAACACAATGTAACAAAATTAGAAATCAGTAACAAAAGATCTCTGGAACAGCCTCAAAATATTTGAAAACACAATACTTTAAAATAACTTGTAAGTCAAAGAAGAAATCAAAAGGGCAAATTAGAAAGGATTTTGAACTGAAGGCAGAATAAATGAAACAAGATTGGAAAGTGATCGCTTTTAAGCTAGGCATATTCATGATACTTTTGTGTACATTTGAATTTTTTCAGAAGCAGCTGAAAAAAATTAAAAAATCAAAATGCTGCTGTATCAGAGATAACACAATAGAGCTCCCCTTTTTATTTTTTTTATTTTTTATTTTTTATTTTTGAGACGGAGTCTCGCTCTTGTTACCCAGGCTGGAGTGCAATGGCGCGATCTCGGCTCACCGCAACCTCCGCCTCCTGGGTTCAGGCAATTCTCCTGCCTCAGCCTCCTGAGTAGCTGGGATTACAGGCACGAGCCACCATGCCCAGCTAATTTTTTGTATTTTTGGTAGAGACGGGGTTTCACCATATTGACCAGGATGGTCTCGATCTCTTGACCCCGTGATCCACCCGCCTCGGCCTCTCAAAGTGCTGGGATTACAGGCTTGAGCCACCGCGCCCGGCAGAGCTCCCCTTTTTAAATCCATGAGTCTCAAATCCATTCTTCCTAAATTTAACCACTGTTGGGAAGCACATATCACAATTAATGGCACATTATCTTTGTCTCAATCTACCAAAAATTGCCTTGCCCCTCTGTCATTTCAGAAGGCAGAAAATTTCAAAAAGAAAATAAAAATGCCTATGTCCTGTAATAACAAAGGTATTTCAGGAAACAAAGAGGAAATACTCACCTTGGACATTGCGACTGAAACAGCCATTCTTTATCCTCTGGGTTCTACTCTCAGAAAAAGAAAAACAGAACGAGATATTAAGTCTTTCTTGGGGAATATGCTAAATTAGAACATATCCTCTTCCCCATCCTCTTAATCTCACTTAACATAAAGAAAAGTCAGGCGGAGACTAGAACAGGTCTTCTACCTTCTGTATCAGAAAGAAGGGCCAGGTCACAGCAGTCTTTGGTTTGAATTTATTTCTGGATTCAAAGTTGTATGCTGGAGACAGAGAGCCCTGTGGTGGAGTGCTTCAGGTTCAGAACTGTGTGGCTGCGTCCAAAAGCACTCCCTCTGAAACTACTCCCACTCCTGGAATCCCATGACATTTCCAGTGGCCTGTCTTGAAGGTATTTTAAGCCCTAAAATTCTCATCTCAAAACCAGGTCTGTGTCTTGCAAGTAACTCCTATTCTTCACACAGGTGTCCAAATGTCTGGCTTCCTTACTTCTTGCCACTTTCTTGCATTCAGTTCCCTTAAGGCTATAAGGTGAGAGGACACAGGGAAGAAGCTGTGAACCTGTAACTACATTTCACAGGTAAGCCAAGGATGGATACAGAAATGAAGGAATACAGGCTATGTATGAACGGGCAGCCACTGTGGTAAAAACAAAAAGAAGTCCTTAAGTCCTCAGAGGAGCACAGAGCCACGTAAGACTCATGATCCATAGACAGACCTCAGCCCCAGAAATACCAAAATGAAATTTACTTCTGCACTGGACAACCCATAAGGTCACAGAATATACAAATGGCCAGACAAAGTCACACATAATCACATTTCCACAGTCACACAACTAAAGGCACAATCACCCAATTATGCTACATTGTTAGAGCACCTCCTCTCAAACAAAATCCCATTAAGTACAAGGCATATAATTACATTCAAGCACCTTGTCAGAGACACATACCTCCAGAAACACCCTTTCAAAGCTGCAAGTTTAGTCTCTTTACCCAGTCATAAAAACAGCACACAATCCGACAGCCATACATAGTCACCCAACCAAGTACCAGATCCGGGAAACACGTGGTCACAAACACCGTGTCACAGCTACAGTCACACACCTTACATTTACTGGCAAACCCGTCACAAGATATCAGGTATATACACAACCTCAAAGTGACACAAGCACATCCAAACACTCTTGTCACAAATGTCACACACTTTATAGTCACAGGCAAACCTCAATTATACACGCGGTACATACACAGTCATGAGCACATCCCAGCCAGGTAAGCAAACAGTCACAAACACCTTCAGAGTCACAAACAACTCACACTCACACAACTGCTCATACACAAAACCGCAGCCACACACGCCCAGTCGTGTATGCACAGGTAGGCACCAATACCAGGCAGGCTGCAGCCAGCACACAAAACCCAAGACACGGCCACACGCGTAACCTCAGCGACGCTTTCTCCGCGCAAGTCCGCTCTGGCATCCCGGACACTCCTACCCCGACAGAGGTGCAGTTCAGGTTCCAAGATCTGGCGCTCGGGTTCCAAGCCCGATTTCGGGTTCGCCAGCCTAGCAGGTGCCGAGCCAAGCTCCCCACCAGACGCGGCCCTCTCCCCACGCGAGGCCTCCAAATCTCGCAAACCAACGGAAATGAAGCTGCGTTCCGGACGCGGTGACTCTGGGAAATGTAGTTCAGCGCCGGGAAGGCCGTGGCTGGCCGGCTGGCACCGGGATGCTCAGGCCGCTCACCCCCCCGGAAGGTCATGGACTCAGCCTGTGGAACCGGCTGGTCCCGGTTGCGGCGCCCCGGAGATTTCTAGGCGTGCCCACCCGCGCTCAGTGCGCAGGCGTCGGGCGCTCAGGGCCTGCGAGAGCGAGCTCTGAGTTGTCCCAGGGTCTACCCAGAGCAGGAGAGAGGGTGGGACCAACCGGCCAGGCAGGTGCGGGGGAGAAGCCGGAGTTGGTGCGGGGACCTGCCAGAACCTCGGATTTGCAGAGGACCCTCTGTGTGCCCTGCCAGGCCTTTAGGGGGAGTGTGCGTGTGTGTGACAATGGGAGACGCTGGGTGGACTGGGAGTCTTTCCGTGGCCGGGTGTGTATGGTTGTATTTCTGCCTGCGTGTGATTCTTCCTGCTGTGGGGTGTGAGGTGATTGATACTTTAAGCTCCGTAGTAATGGGATTTTAAAACTGTGTAGAATCGTCTGACAGAGTAAGATGATTCTACACAGATCTCTGCTGTGGTTTGCTTACGGATATCTGCTTTTTGTGTGTGTCCATAATTGAGTAACTGGTGATTTGTGTTATATAAAGGTGCTTTCCTTGTGCTTGTATTTCAGTGTCTGTAAGGGTGCCACTAGCAAATGGGGCTGTGTGTGATCGTGTGTGACAGTGAAAATACACAAGTTATTTGGCCCAGGTATTTCTTTTTTTTCTTTTTGAGACGGAGTTTCGCTCTTGTTACCCAGGCTGGAGTGCAATGGCGCGATCTCGGCTCACCGCAACCTCCGCCTCCTGGGTTCAGGCAATTCTCCTGTCTCAGCCTCCTGAGTAGCTGGGATTACAGGCATGTGCCACCATGCCCCGCTAATTTTTTGTATTTTTTTTTTTTTTTTTTTTTAGTAGAGACGGGGTTTCATTATGTTGACCGGGATGGTCTCGATCTCTTGACCTCGTGATCCACCCGCCTCGGCCTCCCAAAGTGCTGGGATTACAGGCTTGAGCCACCGCGCCCGGCCAGGTATTTCTTCCTTAAATAGTAATGTAATAATAATCTGGAAACGATAATTTATCTGACAAGTAATTGAGACATGATTTTTCTGTTGGATCAAATGTATGTGTTATAGGGAAGAATGCAAAATTAACATAGTTTTTTCTTAGTTTTTAGAAATATTATTTCAAACCCAGTCTTAGGGTAACAGTCTTCCTCTGCCACAGTAGGCCAAAAGAGGATATCCATTATTTTCTAATTAGAGGGTAAAGTTTCTCTAATTACTGGGGAAAGTTGAGAAGCCATCAACGAATAAAACAATAAAATAATGTTATACATAAAAAGGGTGAATTTTAGCACAGCACAGCACTGGTCAAATTTCCCAAATTCTAGGTCAAACACTTGTCCTCATTTTCTGACGAGAAAACCTTGACTGGTGGAGAGAAAGTAACAAGCCTGTAGAGTTTGTTGGTAAACCTGAACTTATCTTTACTAACTTTGAGACCTCTTGGGCTTTTATGGTTTTTGAATAATCACAAACTTATGAACTTCTAGCACAGAGAAGATAGCTATAATTTCACCATTCCTTTGGAGGGGAAAAAATCAATAAAACTTGGTCTTTCAAGACATATATCAAATACATTGATCTCTTCCCAGTAATGTGACTGGAATAGCAAATTTGGTGAACAGAATTCTTGAGTGAATAAAAGTAAAAACCATTAGAAACCTAGACTGCAGGAAGTGAGAAGGATTTGTTAGAAGACTATGTGATATAATTAGTATAAAAATAGTATATATTTTTGGCCAGGTGCAGTGGCTCACACCTGTAATCCCAGCACTTTGGAAGGCAGAGGCAGGCGGATCATGAGGTCAGGAGATCGAGACCATCCTGGCCAACATGGTGAAACCCTGTCTCTACTAAAAATACAAAAATTAGCTGGATGTGGTGGACATGCCTGTAATCCCAGCTACTCAGGTGGCTGAGGCAGGAGAATTGCTTGAACCTGGGAGGCAGAGATTGCAGTGAGCTGAGATCGTGCCACTGCCCTCCAGCCTGCTGACAGACCAAGACTCCGTCTCAAAACAAAACAACAGCAGCAAAAAGTACATATTTTATAGAGTGATAGGCACCAAACGCCTGTTAATGGTAACCTTTAGGGAGAGAAGGGAGGATTTAGGGTAAAGGGGGAGAAGTAAATGTCAAAGAGAACTTTAGCGCTATGGGTCATCTCTCTCTCTCTCTCTCTCTCTCTCTCTCTCTCTCTCTCAACAAGGTAACATTACTCATATATTTAAATTTTAATTTTAAAATATAAAAAAATATTTAGAGCTTTGCAGAATTGTAGAGACTACTCTGACTGTAGTTCTCTCTAACCCTTCCTAGGATGGTGTTGCTTCCCTGACAGCCATGGAAATGGGTCTCAATTCCACAGCCAGAGTCTGACCAATGTCTTATCTTTTGCTATATGCAAGATGGCTTCTAAGTTTCTAAACCCATTGTAATTTCCGTATCAGATCATGGGAAAGACAGACATTGTTAACAAAGAAATGACAAGAGTCTTGGTGAGGGAGGAGGAATCAGGTAGAGTGAAATCATTGGTTATTCAAGCCCAGTTTTTCAGTCAACAGAAATATTTTACAATGTTATTCAAGTATTTGCCTTAGAGGTGCCAGTCCATTGGAGGAAATTGAGTCTAGTTCATTTTGTCCTACTAAAAGCATTTAACCTTCACCTGCTCTTTTAATTAAATTCATATGTTTTAAAGATACTTCTATTAAATATTGAGTAGATGCAAAATATTTATGAAATGTTTCTTAAGTTTTCAATACAGCAAAAAACCTGTGTATCAACTACCTTTTTTTAAGAAAGAAAATATTGACTACTAACTTTGAAGACTCCTAGGTATCTATTCCCATTTCTATCCCCTTTTCCTTCAGATATAACAATTATCCCATTTTATAATTCTCTTGCTTTTCTTTATAGTTTCAACTACTTACTCCAAAACTATGTTGCTTATGGATGTTTTTGAGTTTTATATGACTATTTTTTATACTATTCTGTGACACGCTTCTTTTTGGTCAACATTATTTTCCTGAGATTAAGCACTGTAGCTATAATCCATTCATTTTCATTGTACAGTATTCCATTGCTTGACTATATTACAGTTTTTAAAATCCATTCTCAATTGGTAAAAATGCGAGATGCTTCAAAGTTTGAAATTATAGTTCTGCTGTGAACATTCTCGTACATGCTTACTGATGGACATGCAGAGGCTGTTCTAGGGCAAGGGTCATCACACTTTCTTCTGTAGAGGGACATATGGGAAATATTTTAGGCTTTGTGGGCCATACAGCCTCTGTCACAACTACTCAACTCTGCCATTGTAGCATGAAATCATGGCCATAGACAATATGTAAAAGAATGCGTGTGTTCTAGTAAATCTTTATGCAGAGGCAGGATTTAGCCTGTGGGCCATAGTTTGCTAAGTCCTGTTCTAGGATATATATTACAAATATGATATTACTGAACACAGAGTAAATATTCCATGAAAATATCCTCAACTTTACTAGACAATGTGCAATATTTTCCAAAGAGGACTTTTCAAATAATACTCCTTGCTAACATTTGAAATGGTCAGAATTTTAAGTTCAGGTGATTCTGGTAGATGTATATGCAGATATATACAGTAGAATCTCATTTTGGTTTTAATTTGCATCTCTCTGATTACTAATAAGGTAGAGATTTTAAAAACACGTTTATTGGCCATTCCTTTTCTGTGAAATGCCTACTGAAACCCTTTGCTCAATTTCTTTGAGTTGTCTTTTTATTATTTGTAGGACTTTGCAAAAATATTTCAGAAGAAATTATGAAGTCCTATGTGAGTTTTAAATGATGTATTTATTTTATTATCTTATTCTATAAGGCAGGTAAAGTAGACCACAATAATCTCAACAATAAGATGGGAAACCCTAAATAGATAAAAATTAGGAAAACATAGATGATTAAGACTAGGAGAAACTTGCAATTAGTATATACAGAAATAAGTTCATTAAGAATTAAGCTTCAGGGCCGAGCGCGGTGGCTCAAGCCTGTAATCCCAGCACTTTGGGAGGCCAAGGCGGGTGGATCACGAGGTCGAGAGATCGAGACCATCCTGGTCAACATGGTGAAACCCTGTCTCTACTAAAAATACAAAACATTAGCTGGGCATAGTGGCGTGTGCCTGTAATCCCAGCTACTCAGGAGGCTGAGGCAGGAGAATTGCCTGAACCCAGGAGGCGGAGGTTGCGGTGAGCCGAGATCGCGCCATTGCACTCCAGCCTGGGTAACAAGAGGGAAATTCCATCTCAAAAAAAAAAAAAAAAAAAGAATTAAACTTCAAATTTGAATCTGACCTTCATAGGAGAAACAAATTAGGACATAAAACTAAAATTAACGAAATTCCTTTTATAGTTTACACTGTCTTTCACGAAAAGTCTATTAATTTCTCAGAGGAAAATAAAATATTTTCATGGACACAAAGTAAAATATTTTGCAAAGTTTTAAAGTTGTGGTCCATAGCCCTCTCCATATCTTCTTTACTCTGGTATCAAAAAATAAGATTGTACTTTAAAAACTCTCCCATGTACCCCCATTTTTTTTTATAAAAGTTGCTGCCTTCCTGCTAGCCCAACTCCAACCTATCCTTCAGCTTTTTCTTTTATCATTTGTATGGTGAAATATAACAGCCATACCAAAAAAATGCATAAAACACAAATATATAGTTTAATAAACTATTATCAAGTAAACATCCATGTAACCAGCTTCCTGTTTAAGAAGCATTGCTGGCACCCTGGAAGCCCTTCACTGATGCAATCACTGCCCCTACCCACCATCCTAAATATAGCGTAAGTCATATCCTGACATTTATGGTAATCACTCTCCTTATTCTTCATGAAAGCT